TAAATGGCTTGAATTCGGCCAAAGTGTGTGAGGTGGTAAGTCCAAGGGGGTCCATCTATTGTTGGTGGCTTGCCTGCCTCATCGTGGCCGATAAACACTCAAGCTAGTGTGCTAGCTAGGATGAGGATTCATTGGGTAATTTAATCGTATTATCATAACTCATATGAGTATTGCGTTGGGCTCGTATTCACTTTTAATGATTTTAATTTAAACATAGATCATCGCATTGACTGTCTTCAACCCAATTCACCTCTTCGATGTTGGAGTTTTAATATATTCATGTTTGCTTCAAGAAAGATCATATATTAATTTGTTTGGATACGCAAAATGATAAGTCTAATTTAGATCCAACGTAAAAATCCAAATATGAGAATGTTGCAAATCAAAATTAACGCGACACATGATAAACCGGGTTTAGCCTATTCCTAGCTTTATAGCCTCCAGATCATATTAATAACTAGCTGCAAAAATACCTATACACCATCATGTTTATGCTACTAATAGGGCTGTTAATGAGCCGAGTTATTCGTGAACGGCTCGGTCTCGAACTCGATAAAAGCTTGTTCGATTAAAAAAAGATCGGCTCGTTAATAAACGAGCCGAGTTTGAGCTCTACCTTGTATGGCTCGTGAAGCTCGTGAGCTAGCTCGATTAGGTGGCTCGTTGAATACAACTCATGAACTGTCTCGTTTTGAGCTTATGAGATGTCTCAACATTGTGAATAGAGAGCCAACTCGAATACAGCTTGTGAGAAATCAATCTATATTTTATGAGTTGGTTTGTTAATGATGCATATAATTATTAAATTGTATATATCACCTCATATGGAGTCTAATACATTGAGTATATGTAAGCAAATACGTCTCATATATGACATAACATTAGGTAATCACATGTATCACATTCACATATGACATATAAATATTAGGGTATTTATATTATAAATTAGGGTTAATACCTTAGTTTGGCCCGAATTATAGACAAACTTTCTACTTTGGCCCTTGGTATCGGAAATTGCTATTCTAGCCTAAACTATGTAGCATACTTTCTTATTTGACCCGGAGGTGGGTTTGACCGTCAAATTAGACGGTCAACCGAGTTTACCATTAGTCAAAGTCCACCTCACTTGCCACGTGAGCTATCAGGAAATAAAAAAAATATTTTTTTTTTGAATTTTGTTAATTTTTTTCTTTGATGAATCGATATACTTTCATTCCATCAAAAAGCAGTGCTGGCAACACCCTTGCCAGCTAGGGGAAAATGGGAGCATAATGATAATGAAAAAACAAAAACACTTCAACTATAGAGCTATCAAACCAAACAAAACCAACCTAGTACCTAGGGGAGCAACTAACTCTGGGGGGAAAGGGTAAGAGACCTGAAGTAGCTAGGAACCAGAAGCCCAAAAAATCTCCAACTCTTTCGGATCCTGCACCAGCACACAAACTTCGCTCTTAATCAGCTGAACCAAAGCCTCAGGGGACCGCTTCTGATCACCAAAAGCCCTCTTGCATCGCTCTCTCCACACATGGCTCACCATTGAGTGCCAAATCAGTCTACCATGCATTGCAACCACTGACTTTGTACCAAGCTTCCTTGTAGCCCAGCTGAGATTCTCCTCCCAGTTCTGAGGAAAGAAAGAGCAAAATCTCCCAAAAAAATGCTTATGAACAGCAGAGTAGTAGGGAAAGACAGAGAACAGATGGTCCCTTGTCTCTCCTGCCTGATCACAGAGGAAGCAGTGATCAGAACCTACAAATCCCCATTTTTTCATCTTGTCTTTTGTTTGGATTTTGTTGTGTATAATAAGCCAAGCAAGGAATCTATTCCTAGGGATGGAGAGTCCCTTCCAAATAAGCTTATACCAGCTTACTCTACTGTGTCTTGTTCTAACAGATTCCCATATCAGCTTGATGGGGTATCTCTTCAGTGGTTTATCATCACAGTGCAGCACTCCATCCTTCCAACAAAATAGGTTAGGGAGCTTGTTTCTAATTCTCAGCAACTTCCCCCAGTTCCATGATCCACTAATATTGACATTCCAAAAATCTCTGCCTTTCAACTTGTAGGCCTGGATCCAAGCAACCCACAGTGATCCTTGCTGCATCATAACCGCCCATATTTGCCTGTAGACACAAGCATAATTCCAGGAAACAAGATCCCTCATACCCTGTCCTCCTTTTTTTGGGATGGCCAAGTACTTCCATGCCATCTTAGCTTTAAGTTTGAGACCAGGGCCAACTGACCAGAGGAAATTACTGCAAATTCTCTCAACCTCCTGAATAACAACCTTGGGGAACCAGTCTGTGTAGCTCGAGTAGTCATCTGTGATAGCAAGCTCCCTTCCACAGAAGATGGCTGACCACCAGCAGATAATTGCAAAGGAGTGGTAGGGCTCCCAGCATTAGCTGATGACCCCTTCACCACCTCAACAAAACTGACTCGAGCCCCCCCATTTGATGCAGGGGAGACAACTTCCCCAACCTTATGAGTCTCCTCTGGACTACCCTCTGTTACAATAGAAGTTTCATTCCCAACATTTTGAACCTGCTATGGAATCCTCTCAGTCGATTCCTTCTCAATTACCTCATCAGCCAAGCTTTCCATGACAGGCTGAATTACTGACTCCTGCACCTGCCTGAGCAATTCCTCGACTGAACCAATCTCCTCATCAGCCTTGTCATGAATCACTAATTCCTCCACCCTCTTGGTCTTTGGGACCCAAACCCTTTGAGGCCCCTCCTCACAATTACGCCCGAAGACACTGCACTTGGAACACACCTTAGGGAGGTTGTTGTATTCAATTCTGATTTCAAATGAGGGATCCTCATCTGGATAGATCCTAATGGAGGAGGGGAAGGAGTAATCAGCAGAGAGCTCGACACAAGCCCGAGCGAACCCTAACTGGCCTCCCACTCTCGTTTTCTGATCCATCCAAAGTGGCTTCCCTATCATGCTCGTCACCCATTCCAACCTTCAGGAGCGAGATACTTCAAGGGAAGTCCCCAAATCCTTACCCAAATAGGCAATGTCTCAACCATCGGGACAATCGGTTGTATACCTGCTTTCCATTTTCGAAAGAAAATCGGGTTACCTCTGAAGTGCCAAGGCCCTGACTGGAAGACCCAATTGCACGCAGTATCAGAAGGAAATTGGAACACCAGAAGTTTGCTCCCAAACTTTGACACTGACGATACCATCGCGCCCCCAGAGTGCATTCGCCCAGGTCTGTAGCTCCGGTATCTTCGGCCTAGTCCCAACAAACTGACCGATAAGCGAATTCTTCCACCGCTCCGCTCCTTTCTCCTTCACCTCCTTCGGGAGACGAAATCCATCTTGAAACTTGATCGACGGCCGATATTGGAGCCGATTATCCGGGACAACCTCGAACAATTGCGCCCAGGAACTGCCCTTGCCAGCCGGAGTAGCCGATGGCGAGGCAGACATAGGGTTAATTATCAGCAACCGCAAATTAAGCACATTGAAGGGGGAACGAGAGCTAGTGAGTAAGGTCACTCCTCGGGCAAACCCAGTAGTAGATATAGATCTGCAGGGAGATGGTAATGGCAATCCTCTTCTTCTCCTCCTCATTTTTCTCCTTTCTGAATAAGGCTGGTGGTGATGCTGCTTCCACCTTCCTCCATTGATAGTGCATGAAAACACTAGTGGAGTTGCTCCTGCTGACCCAACATGGAATCAGGAGGCGCGAGAGGGATGAAAATGCCAATGCCTCTAGATAATGACTCCTTGCGGCCAATATCTCTGGTGCGGGGCAAACCGAACCCGATCCATTGAAACGGGTACTGTAACACCCTTCCACCATTGATATGTCACTAGCAATCATTTCATATACCAAATAAAAACATGTGGAGAGTTCAGTTCCGCCATCCACCTCACGACAACCGATTTGTTTTCTTCTTTAATGATCCCTTTGAATCTGGGGGGAAAATATTGACGGGGATGAGACGTTACTCAATGAGTAAACAATAACCTAATACAAACATTAATACCAAAATAGTAACGAGTGATGTTTGACCTCCGAAGTACTCTCCTATCATCCATGACTCATTCATATCACTTACCATATTGTAACAACCAAAAATACATACCCATACTTAGCCATGATCTCACACACATGTCATATACCACATCACACAAACATTAAGATATACGAAATTTTATTAAATAACACAAGCATCCATTCATTTCATCACGCACTCCCATATCATATCAATATATCAAATACTATAGAAAACTATCACATAACTATATCATCCACGTGCATAAAGTCATATATCACATTAGAGGAAGTCATCACATAATCTTAGGAAATCATCACATAATCTCATTATAAGAAATCCTTATACAAGGGTTCAATAACATGCACATTTAGCTTGATTCAATGGCTTTTACTTCATTATCTTGCCGAGTCATACACTCTTCATTATACAAGGGTTCATTCGACATTGCATAATGAATGATAGAGCAGACATCGAATATCCTAAGTGAAAGAGCAAGTCTAAGCCACAAAGATGTACCTAGTGGATAGGTATTTACGAGTAGTATGAGTACCTGTTATCCATCCCATACGGATAATGGGTACCCGTTAACCCGTACGGATTTGGAACATGGGATGGAAATTGCTCTACAAATAGGACTGGGTACCCGTTTCAAACGGTACGGGTATCTCGTCTCGTCTCATTGTCCACCCCTCCCTATTTCGTGTAATTTGAGGAGACATTAGTTTGTTCAAAACATCATTCCAAGGGAAAATCAATGGAGAACAAAATCCTAACTTCTTCTAGAGACCTATTATCGAGGGGGGGGGGGGGGGGGGGGAAAGTAAGAATCAACCCCATGTTTCAAGAGAAAAAATCGGATATTAAATCCAAAAACACAGTTGATAAGAAATGGCTGGGGCGTTTTTTATCGAAATCTGTAGCAATTTTATTAATCAGACACTGAGGTTACATCATCCACGAGTAGCTGATCCAAAATAATCATTGGTGGTTTATCCAGCCATACAATACCCTCATCCCAACGAGACTCTGTATGCGCCATAATATGAGCCGCCTTATTCGCTTCTCTATATATAAATCGCCATCTACCTTCTCCCACCTGTTCCAGGTTCCTTTTAATATTTCTGCATAGTACTCCATATTAATTGAGAGTCTCCTCCGCCGCATCTAGCAGCTTCATCCATTGCATACTGTCCGACTCGAGGATCGGATTTGATACATGGCTGCCATGCAAGCTGAACCCCAAAATCAGCTGTCATAATTTCCGCCATCAGAGGTGTCTAGGTCCCCCTAATCTTCTTCACTGCTGCCATCACGTATTTGCCTTCCTCGTCGCGTACAACTACGCCCAGGCCTGCTCCCCCACCTGGTAAAATGCCAGCATCCGTGGCAATAGACATTGTCCCAGCTCTCGACCGACGCCAAATTTTCGTGCTGGTTCTGGAAGTGGCATGTTTGTTTCCTGTGGTGGGTTGTCATTCCCTTGCTATTTCTTATAGTTCTCAAGGAACTCTTTTGCTCGCTGAACAATCTCCTCTTCCGGAGTCTTATGGCCGTTGAAAAGATGAGCATTTCGCTCTTTCCACAAGTACCATAATAACAGGCGCCACTCCTCGAGGACATCATCAGCAAACCGAGACATGACTTCTCTCATCCAGCCATAGCAATCATCACCTCCGCGAGCTTCAAAACAAACCGCCACGGATGAGTTCCGCCATAGTCTCGACGTCCAACTTCAGTCTCCAAATCGATTGGCCTGCGTCTCTCGCAAATCACAGAAGGGGCATTTATCTGTCCACTTTTCACTTTTCGCACTCACATGGTCACCCGTCGGGAGCACGTTACGCATGAAGCGCCATAAGAAGTGCTTTACCTTGGGTGAGATTTTTAAAGAGCACATTCTCTTCCATACTTCTACCTCACCCGTCGCATGCAGATCATGCATTGTCCGATAAAATTGTGTCATATAATTGTATCCTTCCTTCACAATGAAGTCTCCGGAGCTGCTTAAATGCCATATAATTGTGTCCCTCTCCTGCCCATTCCTCAAAGGAATTTGTTGAATAAGCTCCGCTACTTCCACCGGGAAACAACCATTCACTACGTCCCGATCCCACCCCCCATTGCTAGAATCGATTAGCTCTCGAACATAGGAATCCACTGGAAAACCCGTGGGAGTCGAAGGTACAAACCAGCCCTGCTCCATTGGAATCCACTCATCCCCCTAGATCCTCACCTCCGTTCCATTCCCGATTCTCCATCGTAACCCACTGTGAAGGAAATCTTGTGCACTCGTGATTGATCGCCAAATAAAGCTTGGATTATGACCACACACCGCCTCCAGAACACTATCCTTCTTATGGTACTTGGCTTTCATTATACTGGCAGCTAGCGAAGTCGGCCGTTTATGAAGCCTCCAAAACTGTTTTGCAAGAAGCACCATATTAAATCCGCGCAAGTCCCTGAACCCAAGTCCTCCCTCCTCCTTCGGTAAGACCTAAGACTAGTTCTTCCTTTTTCACCCAATGAGCACGTCTCTCTGAACCTCTTTGGCCCCACCAAAAGTTCAGCATCAGATTGTTGATTTCCTCTAGTATGCCCTCCAGGATTCGGAAAACCGACATGGCATAAGTTAGTTGCGCTTGTGCCACCGATTTGCTCATCACTTCCCTGGCTGCGGCCGACATTGTTTTTTCTTTCCACCCCTTGAGCTTTTTCCGAATTCTGTCTTTCAACTCTATAAATAGTTCTTTCTTCGATCTTCCAGCTTCTGTGGCGAGCCCCAGGTATTTGTCGTGCTTGTCCACGGTTTTCATCTCAAGGACTCCCCCAAGATACTTCCGACTTCTGGAAATTAACAAGTTGACTTGACTCCAGCTCGTAATCATGTAAGATCTTCTTCAGCTGCAAGCTCTCCTGGGTAGTGGCCCTGAAAAAGAAAATACTATCGTCAGCGAAAAACAAGTGGGACACCACGGGAGCACCCCTCGCTGCCTGGAGACCATGGATTCTTCCTTTCGCCACAGCTTTGTCCGTGTATGAGGACAGGCCCTCCGCACATAGCAGGAAAAGGTATGGCGACAAAGGGTCCCCCTGTTGTAAGCCTCTCTCTGGTAAGAACGGCTCCGACCGATGCCCGTTAACCAGCACCGAGTACTCCACCGACTTTACGCACATCATCATCAGCGAGATCCAACGGGTCTCAAACCCCATTTTGTCCATGATACCCTCAAGGAATCTCCACTCAACTCTATCGTAGGCCTTAGCCATATCAATCTTAGCTGCCGCAAAGCGCTTTCTCCCCTCTTTCTTTCATTTCATGGAGTGGAAACACTCAAAGGCTGCCATAATGTTATTTGTGATAATACGCCCAGGCACAAAAGCACTTTGAGCACATCCAATCACTTTGTCTAGTACTTCTTTGAGTCGGTTTGCCAATACCTTATCCACCAGTTTGTATAACACATTGCATCAGCTAATGGGGCGGTACTCCATAGGTGTCGTAGGATTCTTAACCTTCGGGATAAGGGAGATCAAGGTCTGATTCAGACCCGCTGGCATTCGCCCCTCCTCAATGATACGGGTGACGCAGGCTGTGACATCATCACCTATAATTCCCCAAAATCTCTTAAAGAAAAGGGCCGAAAAACCGTAAGCTCCAGGAGCTTTCCAAGCTTCCATTTGCTTCAATGTTGTGGTTATTTCCTCCCTAGCAACTGGTCTCAGCAGCTTTGAATTATCCTGTTCGTCCACCCTCTTATCAATCGAGTCCATAACCGGGGTGGCTGAAGGGGCCGATGATGCCTTAAACAGGCTGCGGTAGTAATCCGCCATACACCCTGAGACTGCTTCTGTCCCAAAATACCATTGTCCCGCAGAGCTCTTGATTCGCCTGATCATGTTCCGTCTCCTGCGTGTCGTGGCCTTCTTGTGGAAAAAACTAGTGTTTTTGTCGCCATGTTTCAGCCAGTCCACCCTACTCCTTTGGCGCCAGTATTCTTCTTCATTTGCCTCTAGTTCATCCATTTCCGCCTCGAGTTGTTTACGTTGTTCCAGCATCTCGGTCGTTTTTGGGGCACGCTCAATAGCTCGCAAGGCCCGTTTAATCTTTTCCCGCTGCTTCCTGAAGTTTGGGTAAGCCTGTCGGCTCCATCCCTCTAGCATATCCCGACATCGAGTTAACCTCTCCATAATCCCACCTGAGCCTCCCTCACTCCAAGAATTTGTAATCACTCCAGTACATTCCTCATGCTTTATCCACATCGGGTCAAAACGAAAGGAACATCCCCAGCATGGCTCTTAGTCCTCAGCCCCGAGAGTATCACACACTATTGGGCGATGATCAGATCTCATTTTATCTAGATGAAGCACACGAGCTTGGGGAAATAATGCTCTCCAATTCCATGTACCAACAAAACGGTCTAGTCTCTCTTCAATAAAACCTCCATGTCTCCTTGAATTGTCCCATGTGTATGGATAGCCTTGAAACCCCATATCCTGAAGTCCCGCGTACCATAAACATTCATTAAACTCATTCATAGCCGGCTCCGCAGTCAGGTTACGTCCCTTCTTTTCATCTGCTGATTGGACTTGGCTGAAGTCTCCTCCGCATAGCCAAGGGCCATCCCATTGACCTGATAGTTGCCGAATCATATCCCATGTTTGCCACTTATCCCTTCTTTCCGGCCATCCATAAAGACCAGTGAACTGCCACACACCTACATTCTCGTCCGTAATCTTCACATCTATATGATTTTGCGTAATGGACATCACCTCTAGCCGGATACCATCCTTCCACCATATACTTAGACCACCTGCCCGATTTCTAGGCGATACAACGGCAGAGTAACTATCACCCTCCTAAAAACCGAGTTCCTTCTGTAGCACCTTGTTTTCTTCCTTTGTTTGTTTGGTCTCCATAAGAAAGACCAATTGCGGGGAAACCTGCTGCAAAAGCGACTTCATAGCTCGAACTGCCCGTGTGTTCCCCAAACCACGACAGTTGTAGCTGAGAAGCCTCATTTATGTCCTGGAGGGGATAGGTTCCCCGCACCATTCAGTTGCTGATCCACATTTTTGTTTCGAGCATTGTGTCCTCCACTGCCCCTCCTTCCCTACTGGTCTCAACTCCCCCTCCTTTCTTCCCACCATCTCCTCCTTTCCTACTAGTACCCGACCCCAGTGTCCGAGTTCCCTGTTGTGTTTCTTTTTGTTTCCCCGTATTCTTAGTTTGCTTCTGTGTACCTCCTACTGTGGACTCCTTCTCAATTTCGTGCCCTTGCTTATGTGAGAACTTGCAATTGTGATTCTCATTGAATTGATCAGTGGGATTTAATACCCACTCTTAAACAGAAAGTAACCCACGTAGCCTACAAAGGAGGAACAGCTTAGTGGGTTTAACAACTAACAATAATACATAATTAATTAAATGAAATAGTATCTTTATCACGCCCCCGCAAGACGGTGGTGGGAACAACGCCGATCTTGGAACGAAGAAGCTGGAAGCGCGTAACAGGAAGTGGTTTGGTGAGGGAGTCCGCCAATTGATGAGCGGTAGGAATGTGGCGGACATGAAGAGCACCATCTTGGACAAGATCACGAACAAAGAGATAGTCTAGGGCCAAATGTTTCATGCGGGAATGGTGGATCGGATTTCCCGCGAAGTTAACGGCGCCAAGATTGTCGCAGTAGAGCGTCGGGGAAGAGAAGGGAGAGTGATGCAACTCACGTAGCAGATTTTGAACCCAAAGCAGTTCAGAAGTAGCATGAGCCAAGGCGCGATACTCGGCCTCAGTACTTGAGCGAGCGACTGAGCGTTGCTTCTTTGACTTCCATGAAATTAGGTTGCCGCCATAGTACACAAGATACGCCATAGTCGACGTACGATCATTGGGATCACCAGCCCCGTCCGAGTCAGCAAACGCAACAAGATCAGTGGAGACAGCGGGTGCGAGGCGCAGGCCGAGGGTGGAAGTGCCTTTGAGATACCGAAAAAGGCGCTTGACATGCTGCCAATGAAGAGTAGTAGGAGCATGCATAAACTGGGATAGTTTGTTCACGGCAAAGGCGATATCAGGACGAGTGCAGAGAAGATATTGGAGCGATCCAAGAGCCTGTTTGTACAATGTAGCATCAGCTGGTGGAGAGCCATCGACGAGACGGAGAATGGCCGACGAAGCAAGTGGAGTGGGCACCGGATGGGAATCATGCATAGCAAACCGATGTAACATATCATGGACATATTTGTGCTGGGGTAGCACGTAACCAGTAGGAGTAGAATGAACCTCGATGCCCAAGAAGTAATTGACACGGCCAAGGCCTTTGAGAGAGAACCGAGAGGCTAGGCGATCTTGAAACCGGCGGAGGGCGTGGCCATTATTCCCTGTCAATAGCAAATCGTCCACATAGACTAGGAAATAGAGAGTGATACCCTGATGATGATATATAAACAAGGACGCATCACACTTCGATTTGACAAAGCCCTCTTGTTCCAGAAAACTCGACAGAGCCATGTACCAAGACCTCGGAGCCTGACGGAGGCCATAAATGGCCCGATTAAGCTTGCAGACATGATCGGGATGATCATGATCAAGAAAACCAGGAGGTTGATTCATATAAACCGTCTCCTGGAGAGAACCCTGTAGGAAAGCATTATTCACATCAAATTGAAAGATAGGCCACTGGTTAGATAGAGCAATGGTGAAGACAGTACGAATGGTGACTGGCTTCAACACCGGGCTAAATGTCTCATGGAAGTCAACCCCCGGTCGCTGAGTAAAGCCTTGGGCCACAAGAACCGATCAACAGAACCATCCGGATTGCGTTTGATACGAAATACCCAACGAGAGCCCACAATATTATGACCAGTAGGACGGGGAACGAGAGTCCACGTGTTGTTGGCGAGTAAAGCCTGAAACTCGGCGGTCATGGCCGCACTCCATCGAGGATCAGCGAGAGCTTGACGGAGCTGAGTAGGCTCAAAATCAATAGAACCAACCTGGGAAAGAAAAAGTTTCTTGGGCCGAAAAATACCATGCTGACTGCGAGTTATAGGGCGATGTAGAGACTTTACCAGTGGGGGTGGTTGCTGATTTTGCTGCGAGGAGGCAGCAGGGGACGCGGCCGGAGGAGAGCAGGGAGGCTGTCTATGAGCAGGTGATGATTGTGAAGCAGCAGGAGGAGTGGGAGCTGTCGACAAGGATGGGCAAGTGGTGGAAGGCAGAGAGATCATGGTGAGGGGCGGAGAAGTGAGAGCAAGCCAATTTGGAGGGTCATATGAGGGAGTGGAAATGGATTTGATACCAGGAAAAATTGACTCTTCAAAATGAACATGGCGAGATGTATAGAGACGCCGATGGAGAGGATCGTAACAGTAGTAGGCACTTTGAGTAAGAGAGTAGCCGAGAAACACACATTGACGGGATCGCAGTGCTAGCTTATGAGGAGAATATGGATGTAACCAGGGATAGCAAGCACAACCAAAAACACGAAGCTTGTTGTAGTTACGCGCCTCATTAAATAGAGAAAAATAGGGAGTAGCACCATGAAGCGATGAGGATGGTAAGCGATTTATGAGATAAGTGGCGGCTTGAAAAGCATGAGACCAAAAGGCAAGAGGAAGGTGAGCAGTGTGAAGAAGGGTAAGACCTGTTTCAACGACATGTCGGTGTTTTCGTTCGGCGAGACCATTGTGCTGAGGAGTATGTGGTGGTGTCAATAGATGAGGGATGCCATGGGATTGAAAGAAAGAGCACAACTTTTGAAATTCACCACCACCATCACTATAGACACGTCGAATGGTAGTGTGGAAATAATTCTCAATCATGGCCTTATACGTGGTAAAAACACGATGAACATCAGATTTGCGAGATAGAGGGTAAAGCCACGTATAGCGAGTGAAATGATCCACAATAACTAAATAGTATGAAAAATTATCATGGGAAACAACAGGAGAAGGCCCCCAAACATCCATGTATAATAAATCAAAAGGTCGAGAACTTGACAAACTGGTGACAGAGAAGGGTAGTTTATGACTCTTATGCAAAGAACATGAATCACAAGCAGAGTTTGAGAAAGACGAAGTAACTGGCAAAGAATGTTTACGAAGAACACGAGATAAAAGTTTGAAATGAGGATGCCCCAAGCGTTGATGCCACACAGCAGAGGAAGTCCGCGAAGCGGATAAAGCAAGTCCAACAGGTGAAGCTGCCGCTGGTAGCTCATAGACATCCCCCTTATTCTGGCCTCGCAGTAGATGCGCCCCCGTTGCTAGATCCTTCACAACAAAAAAATCAGAAAAAAATTCCACCGACACAGGATTAGTCTTGCACAACTGAGCAACAGAAAGCAATCGTCGTTTAATAGCCTGGACACAAAGCACATTCTGAAGGGCCAAGCGAGACATGCTAGAAGGTAAAAAAGAACTGCCTATATGTGTAATTTGCAGACCTGTACCATCGCCAATGAGGACTTCATCGGGGCCATTGTAATCAGTATAGAGAGATAGCTGACCAAGATCCAGAGTCATATGGTTGGTCGCGGCCGAGTCTACAAGCCAACCAGATGAGGACGGGCCAGCAATGGTGTGATGAGCCTGGGGTGGACCACGAATACGGAAGCAATCCTTGGCAGAATGGCCAGGACGGTCACAGAACTGGCAAACAAGGCGAGGACGGCCCAGGAGAGACGGTGCAGGAGAAGCATACCCAGCAGAAGACCGAGACGGGGATGACACACCGGAGGAGCGTGGGCTGTAATTACGCCGGCCAGGAGAGGGCCCACGAGAGCCACCAGCAGGGCGAGTGATAAACCGGCCAGGAGAACCTTGGCGACCACGGACAGAAGAGAATGCCGTGGTGGGAGCAGGTGGCTGGGCGAATCGGGCAGCAGCAAGGTCGGCCTCAAAATCAACCAACCGATCACGAAGATCTTCGAAATGAATAGGGTTGTCACGGGCACGGATGGCGGCGGCAATATGGTCATACGCTTCAGGTAGACCGTGGAGGACATAGAGAATGAGATCCTCATTTGTGACAGGAGCTAGGGCTGGCTATTTGGACCGGGACCGGATGAAAAACCGGAAACTGGATCGTATAACCCGGACCGAGACCGGACCGGGACCGGATAGTAAACAATCCAATCCAATCTTTGGGCTTAGATTTGAGGTAAAAAACCGGATAAAGACCGTATAAGAGAGCTCAACACCCAAAACTTAAGGATAATTTGCATAAACGGTCACAAACATTTGCACTTAGTACAAAACTTAACCAACTTCTCACCCTTGTAGGCCTTAGGCCACTCAAATTCCCACAATCTCAATATAAAATCAAGACCGAATTGAGACCGGACCGGGTCAAGACCGGACCGGATCAAGACCGGACTGTATCCAATCCAATCTTCGGTCCTTATATTTTCAAAAAACCCGGACTGGACCGGATCAATTTGGGCCAATTTAACCGGACCGGACCGTATAGCCACCCCTAACAGGAGCATTGATGAGGTCTAACTCGACAGCAAAGGTGCGCATGGTTTGAAGATAGACCGCAATCGGGCGATTACCAAGAGTCTCACGCCCAAGCTTTTCTTTGAGATGAATGACAAGTTGACGGGACTGGCTAGCGAACATACACTCCAAGATTGTCCAGGCCTCATGGGAGGAGGGAGCAGAGGAAACATAGGGTGCAACAGCAGGAGCCATGGAAGCAAGAATGGCATGAAGAAGAAGCTGATCTTGCCTGTACCAGAGAGTGCGCTCGGCGGCAGGGGCTGTGGCAGCCGGCGCTGGATGGGAACCATCAAGAAACTTCAGAAGGTCGAGACCTCGTAGAAGGGTCAGGAGCTGTGCTCTCCAAGTCAAGAAATTGTCACCGTCGAGTTTAGTAGGTAATTGAGAGGCAGGATTGAGGGTGATAATGGTGGTTGTTTCGTTGACATTGATCACTGTTTCAACAGACATATTGGGGCTTTGAAGAAAAAGAAAAGCTGGAGCAGAAGAGAATAATAGGTAGAGGGGAAGAAAAGAGGGCGGAAGATTGCCGTAGAAAAGGCTAGGGATTAGAAAAAGAAATTGGTAGAGAGAAAGTAGGAAAGAAGATTTGCTGGTTAAGGAGATCTGAGCTGAGCTCTGATACCATGTGAGAACTTGCAATTGTGATTCTCATTGAATTGATCAGTGGGATTTAATACCCACTCTTAAACAGAAAGTAACCCACGTAGCCTACAAAGGAGGAACAGCTTAGTGGGTTTAACAACTAACAATAATACATAATTAATTAAATGAAATAGTATCCTTATCAGCTTAGTCTTTCTCAACAGATCGTTATTTCCCTTGCCCCGTAGTAGGGTTTTACCGGGTTGGTCCCTTGACATTTCTTCTTCCCTTTCCTCAGCTACTTCTTCCGCTAGAGCATCAGAGCTATTATGCACCTTCTTCCGATTCGGGGCCTGCTGCCCAATATTGTTCGGCCTTAAAGCTGGTCTTCTCCCTCTCAGTTTCGCTATCATCCAGTCTCCATATATCGGTTGCTCGGCCTCTTTATTGTTTGTGTCATCATTCATTTCATCGCCCTCTCCCAGAGATGGATCAAAAGTGGTCTCTGGTGGATTTTTGCATGGGCATGCTGCATGCATGGGTCTGTTGTCCATATCTTCCACAATCAAAACAGACGTTAAATAATCCTTTATAAGTTATAAAATATTCCTTTCCTTCAATCTTGTACTTCGATAGCAATGGTTTGGTGAGATCAACCTCGACAGAGACTCTTGCATACTTCATCCGTGCTCCTTCTAAAGTTGCCCGATCGACTCGAACCGATTTTCCAATCAGCCCTGCTATCCTCATCACTGCCACCTGGTTAAAAAGCTCTGGTGGAACGCATGGGAGCTGCACCCACACCATAGAAGATTTTGTCACCGCGGTCCATGGATCAAAACCACGATACCACCGGTGTACCGTGAGGTACGTGTCACCAAGGATCCATGGTCCTCCTGAAATTGAAGCCTCGTAATCCTCCTTTTTCCGGAACCTAACTAAGTAGCATTCATTTTGCATGTCGGAGATATGGAGCCCTCCATGTTTTGCCCACAGCTGATGAAGGCACGGTGAGAGTAGGTTAAAGGGGACATTGCGCCCCAGGCCTCTAACAACCAGGGCGGATCTCCAGTCTCGTCGAAACGAGCGTTTTTCAGCCGTCGAGAACAGCACCGTTGGACATGTTGGATCATATTCCCCTTCAGGGGCATAGTCATCTTCTTCCCTCTCAGCCTCCGCTACTTCCTCCGAATCCGAATCAGCCACGTACCATCCCTCAACATCTTTATTCTCATCCATGAAATGCCTTCTTCCGCTCGTCCATGCTCCCCCAGGTATCCTAGCCTCGGACATCGGGGTGTCCCAAGGTGAGTTTAAGGTTTTGGTGCAGAGTACTCATCCCGTCTTCCCCAACCGCTTTCGCTTTCTTTTTCTGGTGCTGCGCTTCTCGATCTCCTTTTCCATTTGGGGAGGATGTTGTTGTTGGTGGCCGGCGGCTCCCAGTCAGAGCGTCCGGCGGTTTCAGAGTTGGTGAGAGCTTCGTGTTTGGCCCCGCCGCCGACATCGCGCACAGAAAACCCTAGCCTGGTCGCAAAATCGCTTCCTAAAATTTCGGATAGGTAACCCTAGCGTAATTCGCTGGGGCGTTAAAAAACAAACATGAGAGGGTGTACATGAGGCTTTGGTGAAAAACCAAACACAAACTCAATCCAAAGCCCAACAATCAATGAGGAAAGCCCATCATCAGGCCCAAAATGTGTACCTGATTTTAGGGAACAATAATCAGTATTTTGATTTATATATATAGGTGTCAATCAGGCGAGTTCGAGCGGGTTCGGGTCGGGTTCAATCGGGTTGCGGGTTAGTCGGGTTGCGCGTTTATTGGGTTTCGGGTCGGGCAGGTTGGGGGCAGATCAGGTTGCAGGTTGTTCGGTACAACGCATCGAGTTACTTACTCCATACTCGATACCAACTTACAAATTTTTTTTTTTGTTGAATCAGTTCCCCCTTTTGCAAAAAAGGAAAGTCAATTGTGAGATACAAATGACCAGACCAATACAACGAAGGAAAGCTCAAGGAGAGCAGCCCCAAAATTCGAAATAAAGAAACTCTCCACTCGACTACTACCTGTCCAGAACACTCATTCAACCAGTGACCAACCTAACTCCCCTGCAGACCCAACATTACCAACCCTGCAGTAAGACTAGCACTATCCTCACACATAATCCTCAGATCCCAGATGATGTCTCGAATCAAGACATCAACTCGTTTACTGTCAGTGCCATACAAGCGTCGACAACATTCTCGCCAGATTCCTGCACAGCAAAGACACCAAAGCAAGCCAGTAATCCTCCCCACAGTTGGCCTTTTACAACCAGCAACACCTGCAGCCACTGTTGCCTCCCAGGAGTCACAGCAGAAAAGCCCCATTTGCACAGCTCGAACGACCTGTTGAGAGAAAACACACTGGAAAAACAAATGCTCACGAGTCTCAACTTCAGTGCCACATAAAACACACAAGCCATCTGTCGGTTTTCCCCAAGTCAGCAACTTCTTCTTATTTTTTTGGTAGAAAGCAACTTCTTCTTAGTAACCACAGCATCCAACATAACCATCCAGGCAATGAAGCTATTGCGAGGAACTGAATGTTTCCCCCAGACTAGCCTGGCCCAATTAACCTTCTCAAACTTGACTCTCAAGGTGTCCCAGACAGCAGAAACTTTGTACACAGGCATAGGTTTACGATTCCACATAATCTGAGTATTGTGCAGCATCATTAAAGGTTGAACAAGGGGTCGCAGTTTAAGAATCCTCCTCCAAGCCCAGGAACTGCTCGGACAATCAGACACTGTCCAGATGCAACGATCCTTGACTTTGTACTGTTGAAACCACGCCACCCATATTGCCCCACTCTTCATCAAGAACAACCAGAGAAACCTGATTGTACATGCCTTGTTCCAAGCACATAAATCACGAAGCCCCAATCCTCCTTCCATACGAGTCCTAGCCATTCTATCCCAACTAACCTTAGCACGACCTTCTTCTCCCCCATGCCAGAGAAACTGTGAGCATACAAGCTGAACTTGCTTAATCACTTTTTTGGGCAAGATAAAAATCTGCATCCAGTACTGGAGTGTCCCCATCAATACTGACGTGATCAACTGCAACCTCCCTGCATAACTAAGCTTCTTAGCACGCCAAGACTGGATTTTCTTTGTAATTATGCCAACTAACTTATCTGTTTCACTTGCAGGCAGCTTCCCGGAAAGGAGAGGGACTCCCAGGTATCGCACAGGTAAGATCCCCTCAGCAAACCCTGAAACCCTCAAGGCTGTCTGCTTAAATTGCACCGACCTTCCCCCAAAATATACCTCGCATTTCCCAGGATTACACCTCAGCCCTGACAAGGTATGAAATTCACTCAAAATCCCCTGAACTATCTGGATAGCCTGTCCAGATCCTTCTGTAAAAATGAGCAAATCGTCGGCAAAACACAAATGTGTTAAGCCGACCTTTTTGCACTGTGGATGAAATGCTAGGCGACCCTCTGCAGCAGCTCGGTTCAAGAGAAGGGACAGTCCTTCCATGGCGATTGTAAAGAGGTAAGGTGAGAGGGGATCCCCCTGTCTCACCCCCCTCTGTGCACCAAAGAAGCCACAAAGACCACCATTCACACAGATACTAAATTTTGCAGTCTTGACACAAAGCCTAATCCAATATATGAACTTCTGAGGGAACCCCATGACTTCCATCATAAGAAAGAGATAGCCCCAATGAACAGAGTCGAAGGCTTTCATAAGATCTACCTTTATAGCACAACGAGAGGAGAGTGAAATTTTGTGATAACCACTCACCAATTCCTGTGCCATTAGTATGTTGTCAACAATCTTTCGTCCCTCTATAAACGCAGACTGGTTACCACTAACCACACTAGCCAATACCTTCTTCAAACGATTGGCTAGCAACTTATCAATAATCTTATAGAGTATATTGACACATGATATTGGGCGAAACTCCTTGAGTCGACAGGCCGAGGCTACTTTAGGAATTAGTGACACAGCTGTAGAATTAACACTACTAGGGAGCTTACCAGAAGAGAAGAAATCCAGTATCCCAGCAGTGATGTCTTCTCCAATTATTTCTACCTCATATATATACATACTTAATTAAAAAAAACTATTCAAAATGTTGAATCAATTTATACGATTTACAAACTTGTTATGTAATTAATCATAATTGGTAAAGTGCATTAGCTAATGCCTAATAGTAATGGCGATATCAACATTTGCAACCAATAGATACTATTAGCAAACCAAATAAAACACCACTCTAAAAACAAAGAAGAAAATTACTTTTTCTTATCTCAACATTTTTTGGCGGCAATATAGATTAATTCAAACGAAAAATTAGGCGATAATATAGATCATTCCAAACGAAAAATTGGGCGACCTTTTGGAGCGGGAATGAAGAAGTTGGGTGGCGATATATATCAAGCAAAAAGAAAATTGGACGACAATGCAACGGGAAGCAAAATTGAGTAACAAAAAAAGACATGAGTTACATATATAATAAATTATAAGCTTTATTCTCGATGAAGTATGAACTTTTTGTTTAACAAAAAAATATATGAATAATGGTTCATGGAAATTTTTTGCAAGTCGTTGTCAATCAATAATCCTAATTATATCCATATGCAAAATCTGAACAAGGCACTAATATTAAAAACAATAGTTTAAGGGATATGGAAATCGTGCTTAATAATAAAGGAATTGAAACGTTGGTGGGTCGGATTGGGGAGAATTTTCACTCATTAGATTTTCATTTTGGTAGAAACAAATTGTAGATGGAAAACAAAATGGGAAGAACGAAAAGTGAAGAGGGAAACATTGGAGAGGTGACAAGTTGAGATGAAGATATCAAAATGAGAGGGGAGAAGTTTCCCACCTAAATGAAAATATGGTGGGAGAAAGAATTAGTGAGTAAGATTAAGTTTCCAACCTAAATGTAAAATAATATGCATTTTATATAGGATAACTCTTTGGGTATGCCTACTATGACATGCATGTCACCGTGACATGTACTTTTCGGTCGACCTAATCCTGAAGGCGGTCGACCGAATTGACTAATTTGGGCAGCACGAGAAAGCATTGCGATCGACCTCAACGACCACTGATCGACCGCACTTAGTTTAAATTGTTATTTTCGGTGGGAATCACGCATTAGAGAAGATTACGGCGAATGCTACATTAGGTCGACCTCACCTTAGACGTGGTCGACCACTTTCGACACGTATAACAGCAACCGCGAACAATCTTCTTCACAAAGGCTCTAAATCGGAAAAAACCTAATTCAGACTTTTGGTGGCGTTGAAGGGGACTTATATTCGTATTTATAGAGATTTAGGACGTGAATGGGTCGACCCAATTCGTTTTCTTGTCCAATTGTGGAACCTTTTTGTTGTTGGAATCCTTATCCAATACGGATACGGTGTGCATGTGGTCGACCTCTTACTAATGAGGTCGACCTGATAGGTGCACAAGGGTCGGCCTATGAGGTATTTGGGTCGACCTTTCATTCTGTTATACCACCAAAGAGGTCGACCATTTTATGTAGACGCTCGACCGCGTCTCTGAACCTCACATAACTGAATTTGTCAATTCGGTCGACCGCCTTGTGGATTAGGTCAACCAAAAAGTCCATGTCACGGTGACATGCATGTCACCGTAGCAAAATCCTAACTCTTTACATGTTCTCAAATCTACTATATTAAATTAGTCATGTCTATAAGCTATACTAATTAAACTCGTAAACCATCATACGTATATACAATATTTTAGTCACTAAATATTACACTCCTAAATCATCATGTCAACATTGTGATAATGAAATTGATAATTAATTAAACTCGTAAACCATCATATGTAAACATTGTGATAAGCTTTCTCTCTTCTTTCTCTTAAAAAAATGAAAATAGAAAAAATTTCCCTTATTTTCCTTTCTATAAATAAAAAACATCAAAATTTCCCACCCTTTTCTCTTCCTATAAATCAAAAGCACCAAAACTCTCTCTTCTTTCTTTTTCCAAAACTTGAACCACCAAATTTACCTATTTTTTCCCTCGAAAGTTGAAAACATCAAAATTTCTCAACTCTTTCTTTTCCTATAAACCAAAGCACCAAAATTTCCCCTTGTTTCTTTTCTCAAAACTTGAAGCACCAAATTTTTCTATTTTTTTTCCTCTAAAAAGTTGAAAACACTAATATTTTCCACTTCTTTCTCTTCCTATAAATCAAAGCACCAAAACTCCCCCTTATTTCTTTTTCCAAAAATTTAAGCACCTAATTTCCCTCTTCTTTTTTCCCCAAAAAGTTGAAACACCAAAAATTTCCACTTGTTTCTCTTCCTATAAACCAAATATCAAAACTTCCCCTTATTTCTTTCTCTTCTTTCTTTTATTAAAAATATATCATTTCAACTCAATATAATTTTTTGAGCATTCTTTATAAAATGAAAAAAATAATTTTACTTAGTCTTACAACAAACAAACTTCATTTTGAAATTTTA